TAAAAAAGAAACGTCACAGATAGCCTTTAAATGTTATCTTATTACTTAATGTACATAAAGTTAGTGTACACGTCGTTCACCAACCTAATGCAGCAAGCGAATAGATGAAATCTTTAAATCAACAATGTCTATAACGTTCGAACCTTTAAAATCTCATTATTTGTATTATATATCACTCTGGCTAAATTGTGATTTCTCTGTCGTGTGTACAAATAAAATTATCCTTATATTTGTTTCCTTGTACACATTCGAATATCTCTTATACATTTTCGTGATTGCGACACATTGGAAATGATAAATCAGCCGTCATGGAAGCAAGCAAAGAGCCGAGCCGTTATTTTGTTTGGAAAAACAAAATACGCGGTTTAGCTCCGGCAATGGTGGTGGTGGATCATGGCGAAATGGGGATATATCAACCCGACTCAAAGCTATTGTGCTTGCAGATCCAACACAAAATATGTCTCACTTGCTCTCATGCCCACTACGTCCGACCAGCTGCACTCGCGAAGACCTGCTAAAGCCGACGGACAGGGGCACAGAGGTTGCTGCTTATTGGGCCAAAGAATAATATAACGCTGGTTTTTTATTGGTTTTTGTCATTGACTTTGATTGATTCTGGAAAAGAATAATTTCATTTCCAATTTTGTTTCTGATTTACATTTGTTCCATTTTCTTATACTTGGATAGGTAAACTTTTTAGTTTAAAGCGAAAGTAGGGCCGCGAAACCAGTGTCGAGTAATAAAATTACGAATTAATAATTTTTAATGGCGTTATTTTACCGTGAATTACTCTATCTAAACCAACTTTCTATATCGAATACTTTTCCATTTTTTATGAAAACAGGGAAAACACAGAAGTTGACATATAACAAAACAGTGTCTTGCCAAACATTAAACATATATATTTTGTACAATATGCAATAAAAGTACAAATAATTATGATTAACTATTGTATATAGTAAATATTTTCTTTTTATAAAATTTTAGTAACAAAATTACATTTCAAGAACAAAGCTTGAGAATTTGAATCAATTAATCAAACACTATATGCAATATATATTAAGGCTATTGTGTATCACATAATAATCGTCAACCAAAATAATAATTATTGATACCCAAGAATCTAATTGTCTCTTGTTGAATTTGTTTATATCTAATATACAATTACTATTTCAACAATTTTCTTCGCGCGTTTACATTTACATCCATGCAGTTCAATCACGAATCAAGTGTCAATTTTAACTGACAAAATTACGTAGCCCATAAAGTGCAACATGATTAATACAAAAGTGAAATTCATCAGCTGTTTAAAAATAATCGCATTTATCATCACAATATCTAAAATATATTATGTCAAATCAAACCACGAAAAGAATCCTGAACTAATATACATACTTCTATGGTCAGCCTTAGACACAGAGCCTTTCAAATATTTCTTACCTAAACAGAAGTCATTGAAGTTGGTGAATTGTAAATTCCAAAACTGTTACGTTGTCAAAGAAAGAGAATACTTTTCGGACGTGACGAATTATGACGCCATTCTGTTTACAGTAAAAGGTCTTGTTGATAATGATTTGCCATTAGTACGATCGGATAATCAATTATACGTTTTTGTATCTCAGGAATCTCCAACATACCATCCAATGCAGGAAAAGTGGAATTGGTTCTTCAACTACACCTGGACATACAAACTGGACTCGGACATTATTCATCCCTACTTTATCGTAAGAAATCATCGAGGTGAAGCAGTCGGGCCAAAGATTAATGCACACTGGAGGAATGTAACTAGAATGAGACCTACAAAGGAATCTATAATAAGAGAATTAAAGAATAAGACAAGTGCTGCAGCATGGTTTGTGACAAATTGCGATGGGAATACAAAGCGTTTAGCTTACGGACATGGATTAAATCGGGCTTTAGGTAAATATAATCTGAACGTTGATATTTACGGACGCTGTGGGGATAAGATCTGTTCAAAAGGCTTGTTTGAAGATTGTCAAAAGACAGTGCAATCGTTTTATTACTTTTATTTGGCATTTGAAAACTCATACCACGAGGACTATGTTACTGAAAAGTTATTGACAGCTTTAAAACACTATGCAGTGCCGGTGGTTTTAGGAGGCGCAAACTATTTAAGGTCAGTGCACTTTTACTTATCTTCTCTAATTTACTTTTATATATTATTAATAACAACCATTGTTTGTTTAATTATTAATACAGATCTATAAGCTTAGGGACCCGTACTTCTTGACATCTGATACTAGTGATAGTTTTTTACATCCACCGTTTATAGCTATCTAAAGGTTATCAGCTCTGCCCAATTTCTAAGATTGGTTAATTATTATCAGTTATCTCGAGTTTCGGTACTTCAAATAATCAGCTTACTGGGTTTTGAGGTAACAAGACTCATATAATTAGTATGGGCTACATTCGTTAAACTAGATAACATCCTGAAATCGAGTGATACACTCCACACACTATTTAAATATTTATCTTTCCAACAAAACGGGTTTCATACCTATTGTGAACGTTTCGTTACCTGTCGACTGCACACCCAAAGGAACCGGGTACGTCATTTTTGTGGGACGTACAAAGTTAATTCATGACAACTTTAGCGGTAATAGCTAGTTTACAAAACAAGGTATATAAAAATTCTTGCAACGATCGATCGCTCAGGAAATCAGAAATTCCATTGCAAATATTGCATTAGGGACTATACATTAACTTTCAACATGTTGATGCCCATGCCTAAATACATTTCTTTTGAAACATTTTTTTAGTACAAGTCCTTCGACACAGACGGCTGAAGCCTTCAATACATAAAGTTTTTTTTCTTATCTTATTGGAGATTTTTTTTTGCTGTTTAGATTCATGCCTGATGGAATATATTTAAACGGCAATATTTTGTCAGAAGATGCTGTAGCGGAGAAAATAAATGAAGCCATACAAGACAAACAAAAGTACTATGATTATTTTAAATGGCATCGATATTATACGTACCAATTTACCGATGAGAGAAATGACACTGACCCACTTTGTTCATTCTGCACTTTACTTAACGACGAATCAAAAAGAAATCAAAGACGCGTGTACGCGCACTTTGACAAGTGGTGGAACGACTCAAAGAACAAGACGGAGGATATTGTGGTGAAATACGAGGATTCTGGGCCACACATAAAAAGTGTCGTAACGTATAGAGAACAAAAAGTTGAAGTAAAAATAGTGGAGGCTCCATCAACAATGGAAAAAGTCAATAGTTTTATTGATGACTTGATAAATTATTACTTTCAATAATGAATTCAAATAACTTGAAATGACAGTAAAGTAAGACTTTGTCAATGCGAGACCTATGTCCGCCATGTTCGTCTTACGGAGAAGGTGATTAAGATGATGACCAACACCAAAGTTGTAAATACTTCCAAATCGAAGAGTATCGAAAATGCCGAGAATAGAAATATCAAGTTTGTTTCAAAAACGAGAGGAATATAATTAATTAAAGCAAGAAAAGTACACAGAAATAAAATTAGACTTAAAATATCAAATTGTCGTACTGATGATGTACTGGTGATGTTTCGTAATGATTTCGTGATGGTCATGGCCTTTACGTCTGTGGCCACTGTTGGTGATTTCTTGTAAAATATTTTTTTTTCTGTGTCAAGGCAATCATTTCAGATAAGTATTACAAGACAAACTATGAGTGCTTACATAATATTGAACGTACAAAACATATACAAAGAATGTTAATAACAACAATAAGTCATATATTTATTGTCTTCAATCTAAAAGGCCAAAGTTAAACACTGTATACATTATGTGTACTTCAAACTGTAAGTGTATAAACTACATAGTATAATATTACAAATGTACAAGTAGGTTGTTAAGAAAATATGTATCAAGTTATTCTGTGTATTGTATTTAATAAATAATAGTAATACATGGATTACATTCAATTTGAGCATCTACATAATATATTACAAAGTGTTAGAATTTGAGTCAATAATTTTACGATTTCATGCTACATTACTATTGTTTGCCACATAGTATAGACCGAAATAAGGCTGATTGGTACTAAAGAATCCCAATTGTTTCTAGGTGAATTAATATAGCTAATAATGTAGTTATCATTCCCATTTAAAACCAGTTTCATATGCGCATTTACGCAATACAAACGCAGTTGGAAAGCACATAAAAATGTCTAGCACAGGCGCAAAATTTTTTGTCATTCTGAAAACAACCGTAATTCTTACAATGTTTAATCATTATAACGTTGAATCAAACCATCAAAGGAAACCTGGGATCATGTACATGCTTCTGTGGTCAGCCTTAAATACAGAACCATTCAGATTTTGGTCAAATAAACAGAAATCACTGAATTTAATGAATTGTAAATATCAAAACTGCTACGTTATCCGAGATAGAGGGTATTTTCAGGATATAACGGATTATGACGCTGTACTTTTCACTGTAAAGGGCCTTGGAGGAGGAGACGATTTGCCTCTTGCACGATCTGACAATCAGTGGTATGTATTTGTTTCTCTGGAATCTCCGACGTACTTCCCATTTGATAAAAGATGGAACTGGTTTTTCAACTATACCTGGACATACAAACTGGACTCCGATATCATTCACCCCTACTTTATTGTGAGGAATAAACGTGGTGAAGTTGTAGGACCAAAAATCAATGCACGCTGGAGGAACGTAAGCATAATGAGACCTACACAGAAATCTGTAATAGAAAAATTAAAAACTAAAGACACGGCTGCAGCGTGGTTTGTGACAAATTGTCATGGAAATAGCAAACGGTTAATTTACGGCCACGGTTTAAATCAGGCTTTAAGTAAATTCAATTTGACCGTTGATATTTTCGGGCTATGTGGAGATAAGTATTGTTCGAGGGACAAATGGGAAGATTGTTTAAATTTAGTGGAATCACGTTACTACTTTTATTTATCGTTTGAAAACTCATTCTGCGAAGACTACGTTACAGAAAAGTTGATGACTGCATTGGAACACTATGCAGTACCGGTGGTTCTGGGAGGCGCGAACTATTCAAGGTTACTATATTTTACTACAATGATTTTGATATTATGTTTGCCTGGGGGTCTACTCCTGTTCTTCGACATCCGTCCGAAACAATTACTGTTAAATAAATAATACTTGATAAACTTAAATGACGCATGATGTGAATGAAGCTTCATACGTGACATTGTATTGTCGGAGTCGGACGGAGAATGGTAGTAGACCTCCAGTGTCTGTTGCCAATACCCCGTAGCCACCGATCTTAACTTAACTCGGTTGGTTAAAGGTAGCCACGGCATGGCAATAGACACTGATTCGAGTCTAATCAGGTCGAAGGATTTTTTCTTTGCGTTCGATCTTTGTATTAATAATGAAATGGTGAATGATAAAAATAAGCACAAGGACAACTGTAAACTGGCTGTTTTTGACTTTTTGACAGTCATCCACAAAATCACAAGGCCACACGCTAGGAATTAATTTCAAAAGTTTGCTGTTATCAAAATCAATAAGGACCATATCTATTAATATCCCTGACGATATTCAAATATGTCGTTTATGAAGTTTGGAACTAAACAAAACTTTATACAAAGGGTATAAAGATAAGTTAATATTGCTTACTTATAACACAATAATCCAAAGAGTCTAACTTTTGTTGAGAGAGAGGTTGTGTCTACGTATAGTAATTTGAAATAGTTTTCTGTAACGACAAATATGCACAAATATTTCTGTGCTATGGTGCAAGTGAAGATAGTCGAGGTCATCAGTGGACCATGGTGCCATGAGGCAGATTATGGTACCATAATTGATTCGCTAATTGGTAGATGACTGTATTATTGCACCAGGATTGGTAGATGACTGTATTATTGCACCAGGACGTGCTTATGGTAACCTATGAGTAGTCCGAAACGACATTTTCCAGAAATAACGTTTGTTCGAAATTTCATAACCTCGAAAGTAATTTTGAGAGGAAAACCGAACTAACCTAACCGAATCTAATCGTGTCTTTGCGAGAAACATTCAACGTATCCTGAAAGGACAACTGTTTCGTTATAATTCGGTTTTCGGTGTAATGAAAATTCGAACAAACGTTATTGCGGACAAAAAATTTTCGACTTTGTGATAAGTTACCCGTGCTTGAGTATCAATAGAGAATTTGCATTGGCACCAATGGTATCTGCTCCAATGTACAAAGGCAACCCATAGAGTTTCTTATTCATACATCTATACAGGGCGTCTCATTATTACGGGATATGGAGGGAATGCTTTCAATTAAGATAGTAATAAGGAATGAACCCTTCTATTGATCCTTTTGATCGGCATCATTAATTCACATTTCTTCAGTTTGATCCCAGAGTCTATGAGTGCAGTTTTACTTACTTTTAATAACAAAATGATGTTCAAGAGAAGTAAAACATGTTACGGATGCCAAGTACCTATAATCAACTTGATGACTTAATTTGTGATTCAGAACTTAAAAATAAACAAAATTAAAAGATATTATAAAATATTGACAAAACTTATAGAGGTTACAGTAATTGATTGAAAGCTATGTTGTTTTAGATTTATGCCCGATGGAATTTATTTAAATGGCAATTTGTTATCAGAAGAAACATTAGCAGAGAAAATGAACGAAGCCATACAAGACAAGCAGAAGTACTATGATTATTTTAGATGGCATCAATATTATACTTACCAGTTTACAGCAGAGAGCGGTGACACCGATCCACTCTGTTCGTTCTGTGCTTTACTGAATGACGAATCAAAAAGAAATCAAAGACGCGTTTATGCGCGCTTTGACAAGTGGTGGAACGAATTTAGAACACAGAATGATACGGAAGAAATTATTGTGAAATACGACGATTCTGGGCCGCATATAAAAAGTATAGTAACATACAGAGAGCAAAAGGTTGAACCAAAAACGATTGTTACTCCTTCAACGTGGCAAAATGTTAATAACGTTTTTGATGATTTCATGAACTATATCTTTCCACCATAAACAGTTTTGGAAATGGTAAATTTGGTATTTTTCAAATCGGGTATAATGTTCGTAAAAAAGCGACTGATTCATTTTGAGCGAAGGCTGTAGCATCAAATCGATATTTTAAAGCAATTTTTGATTAAACCTTAATTCCATAAACCCTAAACCTTAAACCTAACCTAAAACCTTATTCATCACACACAAATACAAATCAGCCACAGCCTTCATCACATAAAAATAGATAATGCAATTCGCCAGACTTAGTCATTTTTCAAAAGGACCGCTCTGAATCTTAGCTGGTTTTTGAACGTCCTCAACACTGGCAGCATTACCACGATAATTAGCAAACGAAATTTGTTGCATCAAGTAATATGCAGAGCGTGGATCACAGCCTCTATCTCTTAGTCGACGACCCAACTCCCTCATGAATTCTTTGGCCGCACCCCAAATCCTATCTCTGTTGCATGCAAAATAGTACAAATAGCGGACTTAATGCCATTAGCCATTTTCTACCAGTCAACCGGAGTGCTGAGTTCAGAATATTTAAATAACAGGAGTGCTATAACATGACAAATAAAAAACAGATAGGAGCACATAGTTAATGTCTGTGGGTATAAATGGTTTAAAAATCAAGGATATGACATTTTGAAAATTATTCAATTATTATCGACCCGTTTGTTTGTTTGTGCTTTTGGATCTAGATTGGTAGACTAATTTATAAGAGCCTTCAAATGGTTGATGAGCCTGTATTAAGATTTTTTAAACTCACTAATTAAATTGTATCTTATTTGATTTTCTTTTATACAACTTGGAAGACCATTCAAATGTAAATAATTATTAATATTGTGTAAGTAACATTTACAAAGATTAACAAAGCATTTCTTAAAAGTATGTATTTTCTTTCTTAGGTATTGTTAAAATACATGTAAGCAAATATAATATTATTTTGTATTCAAATTAACAATATTGCTTTTAAAAATTTATAGTTTGTTATTGTTACAAGTAACACATTATGAATTTGAATTTGAATACTTTATTCATTACATTGATTCTTATTAAAATGAGAATGCTTTTATTTGTGTAAAATTTTATAATAGAGATTTTATTGTTTGCCACATTATATTGGCCGAAATGAAATCTTTCAAGAATTATAATTGTTTCTTGACGGATTTAACATTATATATAAATAGTAAATCATTGTCACAGAAAAATCAGTTTTCTTTGCAAATCTACACGTTGTACACGAAGTGAAATTATATAACACAATATACAAATAATAATTAAAAATATGAAAATTCAAAAAGTAGACATAAAATTGAACTGTATTCTTAAATTATTGATTATACTAATTATATTTAACATGTTTTCTGTTAAATCACACCATCAAAAGGAACCAGGTGTGATATATATACTTGTGTGGACGGACAAGCAGAGGGAACCTTTTAGATTTTGGTCTAAGAAACGCAAATCATTTATGGCCATGAATTGTGAATATCAAAATTGCTACATAGCCCACAATAGTGATTATTTTGAAGACGTCACTGATTTCGACGCCATTCTATTTAATCCATTGGGAATGAACGATGATTTGCCTCTGGCACGATCCGACAACCAGTTGTACGTATTCGTTGCTCTAGAACCTTCAGCGTATTTACCATTACAAGACAAATGGAACGGGTTTTTCAACTACACTTGGTCGTACAAACTGAATTCCGACATTCTGAATCCCTATTTTGTAGTCAGGAACAAACGCGGTGAAGTAGTAGGTCCTAAAATACAACCTCATTGGATAAAAGCTAAAGCAATGAAGCCTGCTCCAAAGTCTGTAATAGAAAAATTGCAGAATAAAACAACCGCCGTAGCGTGGTTTGTGACAAACTGTGGAAACCATAAGAGACTTGGATACGCTCACAAATTGAATGCTATTTTAAACCAAGATCACCTCATCGTTGATATTTATGGTGGATGTGGTAATAAAGTCTGTCCAAGAGAAAGATTTGAAGACTGTGTGGATTTAGTGGAGAAATACTATTATTTTTATTTGTCATTTGAAAACTCATATTGCGAGGATTATGTTACTGAAAAATTAATGACTGCACTCGATCATTATACAGTTCCTGTGGTACTTGGAGGTGCAAATTATTCTAGGTAAGTAAAAACTATGTTTTTATGATATTTGAAACGGCAGTTAGAGCATCCACCTGATCATCATCATTAACCAATTCATCCTAAGAACTATGTAGACCACAGACAATTCGCATTTTGATATCAAATTAAAGCATGTCCCTTTTCTTTTCGTAATGCAGGGATGGATAACGAAAAATGGTCTTCCTATGAATGTATTCACTTAAAAATTGAACTTGGACATTTCAAGCGCGAAAGTGCATAGGCAAATTCTAGGCAAAGCCCCTCCATGTAATTCTTCATGCATCTCCATTTCATCGTCAATCCATTATTTGTCCCACTGCTGCGCACGGGTCTAAAGAGGGCCATAACCCCCAATTCTTATTGGGCATTCATAAGTTTTCCAATGGCTATAAACCTTAATTTGAGAATCAAGTTTCATCGAGATGTTTCCCTTCATGATTTATAAAGAATCTATGGAATATTTATTTAAAAAAACGTATTCCGTGATTAGTATCCCAAGTTAACAAGTTTTACCGTACCTACGTCATTGTGTTAATTTTCTATATCTTTTAGTCATACTAACTAGAGGTAATTTAACTTATTAACAATAAAAAGAATATCATCTCCTTTATCATAGACAAACGTAACATATGAAATTTTAGTAGCAGTAAGCTCCTTGTAAAAGAGTTCATCCAGGGAAGTACTGCCAGCTTACCTATTTACTTCATTATATACATGCATGCTGAGCATTACTGGGTTCTAGTTTTGAAGGATGCTGGTGAAATAACAGGCACATGGGACTTTTTCAATTTATGATTTGTTATAACAAATGCGTGTTATAAGGCCATGTCTAATTTATAACACCTTCACACGCTCAAAACCAGATTACTTGCCCATCCTTGACTTATACTCAGTTAATAACGGATTACATTCCAAATGAAAAGCATAAGCCTGTCTCTGTCCTGTTCTGTTAGCCGTCATATTCAAAACCAATATGACGGACCTAAGCACGTAAAAGTATGAAGGGAAAATTTTCAACCTATGTTTTTTATCAACAATGATATGCGGTGGTGGACGGTGCAGGATTACTTACTAATTACGCGAAATCAAAACAAGAAGTCTGCAGGAGCGAAGGGCAACTCAGGTCAAGGGCATCATAGGTTATTAGGCGAATGGCGGTGTATACGCAAACCTTTTCGAATTTAAGTACTGACGGAATGTCGACACGCATGTAGGCTTGATAGTAATAATGTACCAGACAACCACACCAATTATCTGGTCTCAAGAATCGAGAATCGAATCCGGGAATAAGTGGAATTGATTATTTTAATTTCTTTTCTATGTCGTGAAAAAGTTTTTATTATGAATTTCTTTTTTTAAACAATTTTGGGTGTTATGTGATAAAGATTGTAAATTTTTTAACCGAGTTCAAAAAAGGAGGAGGTTCTCAATTCGACTGTATGTTTTTTTTGTATGTATGTTACGCGATAACTCCGGTATTTGTAAACCGATTTTCATGATTCCTTTTTGTTGGAAATGGGGTACTTCCACGGTGGTCCCATTTCATTTTGAAGAAAATCATCCACCTCGAAAGGTGGCTGCTCACGCATGAAGATTCATTTTTATAAATGGCGCCTAACTTTAATTTAGGAGCAATTACTTTGATGGTTGATTTTGTTAATTCTCCATATCAAGGCGTTTTTCTCTCAATATACTTTGAGTAGTGAGAACCGATTTTATTATCTCCAGTGTCAAGTCCTGTATAGTGGCGAACTAGGGGATATTTCAATAAAACTTAGCAAATAGACGTAATTCTACATACTTTTAAGGTCGGTTTTTGTAGTACTCTGTACTGAGATTATTAATTAAGTATAATTAGCATGCGCTACTGATCCATTGCCGCATTAACCTTGACTGATAGTGCCCACTACTCACTGATGCAATGGGCGGAGCTGACGCGCGGTAATGTTACAATTGCATCGGCCGGAGAGTATTGTGGCCGTTTTTTGAATATATTTGTGAGGCCATATCTTAACACTTTAGTACTGAGTATTACTTGCTGTTAAATTTTCATCAACGATCATAATATTAAAATTTGGCGAGTGATAAAAAAATCACCCAGTATATATGTATATAGTACTTCATGCGTTCAAGTCTTTGTTGTCCTCAGATTCATGCCAGATGGAATTTACTTAAACGCCGAAACCTTACCGGAGGAGGAGTTAGCGGTTAAAATAAAAGAAGCTATAGAAAACAAGCAAAAATACTATGACTATTTTAGATGGCATCGATATTACACATATCAATTCACGGCCGAGAGTGGTGACACTGATTCGCTCTGTTCGTTTTGCGCTTTTCTTAACGATGAGACAATACGGAGACAAAGACGCGTGTACGCACGATTTACTAAATGGTGGAACGAATATAGTGTACCGAACCAGACTAACGATATAATTGTAAAATATGAAGACTCTGACCCTAATGTGAAAAGTTTCGTAACTTTCAAAGATAAGAAGCCTGACCTAAGTTCCCTCGCAACAGTTTCAGCGTTGCAAGAAGTTGGTAATTTCGTCAATGACTTTTGGAATTACTACTTTGAATAATGAATATAAATGACATTTACTTCCAAATTACGGTCAAGGTAAAGAATCATCTCTCTGCCTTCTAAAAACTTATGAAGGATAGTGGGACAAAAATGTTATGTACAATGTAGTTCATAAGATAGATAGGAAGAAAATTCGATGTCATCCAATTAAAACAATTTCACGTATTTAAATATCTTTCCGTTCCTCCAGCGATGTCTTTCTTTATAGTATCTCATTATGTACATATTATGTGTGAGGTTCTTTTTTGAATATGATATACTATAATAGAATATTAATAGCATTGTT